TTGGACAGGTCGTTGGAATGCCTAATAATGTACTAGATCTAGTACAATTGTACTAGACTAGCAACACTGATGACATCCCTTCATAATCGTAATCCATGATTAAAAAATATAAATTATATAATTAATAGCTATTCTTGTAGAATCTAAATTATACTGGCTTATTTTTATTTACCCTTTCTTGAAAGTTGTATGACATCAAATAAATGTCTGCTTCTTTGATGTTTACAGCCATAAGTCGCGCGCTATCTTCGACTATTGCCGCGTTTGAGAATCCACATCGGGGGTGCTATTTTCAAAGTCGAGAGAATTCATTTCTCTCGAGAGAAATGTCATACGTCAACGTAAAACAGTATTTTTAGGGTCCTAAGGGCCAGTGTAAACTCACTGATTGTTTCTCACGGTTTACTTAGAGATAATTAATATCCTCCTAAGAATTTTAATCCTCGAGGCCTTTAAAAACAGCGTTTCCACATTGACGTATGACATTTCTGATGAGAATCTTGAGAGAAATGAGTACTCACACGGTTTGAAAATAGGTCCCCCGGATGCATTTTTTACATCTCGATCGTTTTTTTATCCACATCGGACACATCTACTACATCTGCGTTTGTTTATCCCAGATGTATCTGTTCAGATTACATTTTTACATCTCAATTTGTAATGAGATGTGAATGAGATGTTTCGTTCCATGCCAGAAAGTAAGTGTTCTGTGAAGTCTTGTTTGTCAATTTATACTTTGTTTATGCTAGCATGAATATAAAAGTGATTAGTTTGTTTAATTTTTGTTTATATTTCAAATTTAGTTTGATTTGTAGTCTCAAAAGTGAAATTTAATAAGCATAAACTTCTAACATGTCATTGACATTTTATAACGTGACCAAATAAAGTCTAGAGCGTTTGTTTACTACATCTACATTTAGATCTAATTCTCTACCACGTGACAAAAAATTCACATCTCAGATGCATCCGATGTGGATTCTCAAACGCGGCATCTATAGCTTTGTCCCAACATCTCACAAAACCGTAATATTACGGTCATCGTCATGCGCAGTAAATAAAAACCTATCAATAAAGCCCAAAGTCGAACGGTTTTTATTTACTGCGCATGACGATGACCGTAATATTACGGTTTTGTGAGATGTTGGGACAAAGCTATAGATGCCTATCTTATTTTAAAAGTTAGTCCACTAAAAGGTTTGTTTAAAAAACCCAGTGAGTTTGTTTCCTTCATATTAGGAATTTTAAGCAAACTTTTCCTATTTCCTTATCTGTTTAATATTAATTCATCATTTAAGGTTATGTCACGTGATCCATCAGTGCATCAACATAATCGAGATGATGGATTTGGTGATAACCCTCTGAAAATTAGGTTGAATTTAAGAATATGTTTCATGACTCATCTAAAAAAATTTGATGGATAAAAGAACAGTTTCGATCACAAAGCATGTATCTTCTAGAGACCCCACGCCAATGTTAAACTTTTAAACCAAATTAGCGCCACCTTGTGTTTGGAGCTGGAACTAAAATGACAATTGACAGATGGCGGTAAATTCAAATTGTAATTTTTAGGAGTAGGTAGTAGTTTTAAATTAAATTTTAAATGATTTCCACATAAATTATTTTATAAAATAAAGTATGGAACTAGTAAGTTCGAAACTTTTATTTTACAAAATAATTTAGGTCGATTATACCAAATTCGAAGAATTTATTTGTTATAAGGGGTCTAATGTGGAGAGTTGGTTCTGCATATTTTTATTAAATAAATATAAGATATATCAATAAATAATAAAATAGAACATTCTTAAAATATGTTTATTAATAACTTAAATAAATATTATTAGATAAAAATAAATACAAATAATAATACATATTTAACGAATACTTACTTGGAGCAAATAGATATATAATCTCAAATCTTTAAAATAGGTACCTATCAATAATTTAAATGTGAAGTAGAGACTATAGGATATTACATTTTATTAACACTAAAGTTATATATTTTATAAATGTCTTTTTAACTGAGGACAAATGTAATATAGGTATTGTATTAAAAGGTGAATCCTTTTAACTATTCATTCAATGATAAATAGGTATTTTCCTTCCAAATACAGATGGTGGTATCTTATGTGAAAAATGATTTCGGAATCTAGTCCAGTGATAAATTGATTATCAATTAGTTGTTGTCCCCGTTTGTCTTTTTATGATGCAGATGCATGGTGAATATATGGTGAATCAATGAAGTTTTTCTCGAAGTTTTCAACGTAGCACCAAAATTATTGCAAAACACAGTAGGAAATAAAAAAGCGAAACATCACAATTTTGCAAATAACTAAGACGAAACTATAAACAGAAACCAAAAGCCAAAGCCAACAAAAAATCACTAAAATCAGACGGAAAAATGAAACTAACCAAGAACATAAATAAATACACGTCACATCTTTGGAGTCTTTGGTTGTTTTTCTCCCATAAGGCTTAAAAATGGAGTAAGAAATCATAATTTCACCAGCAGCCCCATCTAGAGTTTGGAGCAAATAGCATAAAAAATGTCAGTGGTCGGTTTTGACCTTGGTCATTCACGTGGAACCTCTATGTGCTTTGTGGTGATAACCGTCTGAAAATTAGGTTGAATTTAAGAATATGTTTTATGACTCATCTAAAAAATTTTGATAGATAAAAGAACAGTTTCGATGAACCCAGATAGCACACGACGTCTGACGTCTTTGGGGGGATATAATTGGCCAACCTTGTGTACCAATTAAATGAATTAATCTCACAAAGTTTTTCTTTTAGTTACAGGTTAGCAATGGAATTCTCTTACCATCTCTCAGACCTATGTTGCCGTTACTAGATTTGCATGGAGTTAGGAGATTGGATTTCCACATCAGTTGTAGAGGTAAATAGTTAATAATAAGGTATATTTTGATAAATAATAAGTAAAATCGGTTTTATATAAAAAATAGTGTTTTTACGTATATTAATACTCTAGCAAATGAGCAGGTTTAATTAAATTCCCTAATATACCTTTTGGTATTCCTAATTAGGCATTCCATTGACCTTTCAGAATTAGACATTCCAACGACCTGTCCAAATGGCTACCAGTGGGTAATGACAGTTTAGATATGGCAACCCTGTTGTCATTAGTCGTTTTCTTTTTACAACTAATCTGAGCTAATTTACATCGACTAAGCTGAGATGTACGTTCTTTTTATGATTGTAAGTCAGAATCTTTCTTCCCCCTTACCGATGCTAAGGTACATGGTACTTGACGTCAACCATAAACCATCACAGAAAGTGAGTGTTCTGTGCATCATATGAACAAACATATCCCATGAATTCATTATTTTAGAGAGAATAAAAGACTATGATAACAGGGGGTGAGATTTGTAGTGTTGGATGTTGAAAAAATTATAAAATTTGATTAAAATATGGATTGTTTTAAAACGGATGGCATGGGGCACGTCACCTGTCAACCAAAATTCGCGTTCTTTTTACAGTTAAGCTTAGATCAGAATCTAACTTTTAGTTAGTCAAGTATGCTTGTAAAAAGAAAACGACTATTAACAGGGTTAATGATACATATATAGTTATATAGATTGCTCAAAGCTGGTCGTTTACGAGCGGCCATATTGCCTGGCAAATATTTATTAATTTGAATCGGTTTAGAAAAAATGTGTTTTAAAACTAATTTTTAGCCTTTAGACATTAAAAAAAAATAATTGCTTACATTTTTACTTCAAGGCATAAGCTTATGTTTATTTTGAAAAATATGGATGATCAATCTATGTAACTATCTATTTCATTGACCTTGTCAAATCACCGGGCCTACAGGGTTGCCATAATTTTGCTATATCATAACCCGTCAAAACCCACTGGGGACCTATTTTCAAAGTATGTGAGCACTCATTTCTCTCAAAATTCTCATCAGAAATGTCATACGTCAATGTGGAAACGCTGTATTTAAAGACATCGAGGATTAAAATTCTTAGGAGAATTTTAATTATCTCTAAATAAACCGAGAGAAACAGTCAGTGAGTTCACACTGGCCCTAAGAATACGGTTTTACGTTGACGTATGACATTTCTCTTGATGGAAATGAATTCTCTCGAGTTTGAAAATAGCCCCCCTAGTAGCCATTCAGTTTGGAATGCCTAATACTGCCAGTGGGAACTGGAACTGACAGTTTAGATTTGGCAACCCTGTAGGCCTGTTGTCATTGACAGTATCAATGATGCATATAGTTATATAGATTGCTCAAAACAGGACGTTTGCGAGCATTTCATAACAATTAACAATGTTTGCAAAAGGGGAACTAATGAGACCTGTCGAATATTGACTTTAAGCTATCACTTGTCTTTTTAGAGACATTAACCTGGTGTTCATTTCTTTTTTCCTCTAAAATTAGGACACATTGCCAAATAATTGACCTTTTTACGAGTAAATTTCAAATCCTGAAACACTGATAGACTCATTATTATTTGCCGAGACACCCCGGGGCGATTTAAAGATGATTTATGGCGCCATTTGATTTACAGGTGAGGAAAATCCCACCCATCATCATATTCATCACTTAATGTGGTCGTTTCGGGACGATCTATGAACCACTTGGGTGGTTAAGACAAGTAGTGTTTGTGCTGCATTTAGGCCAGATCGGCGAGCTCTAGCTGTAGTATTATATGAAAGACATTGAAGTGTTACTCGGGTCAAAAGTTATTAAAGACAATATAGTAAAGGCATTTATACAAAAAAAATGCATTATATTATTTTGCATGTTTACTTTTTGAGGAAAATTCAAAAACTATCTATATAATAATTCTATGGAATTTGAGTAATATTAGAGAACAATTAAATTAATTTAAGACAATGAAAATAAGTAAAAATAGATATATCTTACCTTAAGTTGTACATTTTCTTATAGGCCTGAAGATGGTCAAATGTGACCGAAACTAGTCGAATACGGGAAAGAAAATAAATTCACAAGCAGATATTTATATATATGTTTTATTGGTTTCGACTGCTTTACAACATGGCACACTGTACATTATTTTGTAAAATAATATATTTATATATTATTTGTACATAACATCCGTTATTTAGAAATTTGAATCCTTCATTTATATATTTTTTCGAAGGAGAAACATTACCCTTCATTGAAAAAGGCACTTCATAGTCTTAACTCGTCTGGCTTAGACACTCACCGTACGGGGATGCAAAAAAAATAATATCTATAACCCAGGTGGTACAAAACATCATGTTCTAGAATATATTAGAGTTATACAATTAAAGAAAATAGAGTGGAAATGTTAGTTAATTAGAAAATGGACGCCACCGTATTTAAATCAGCATATCCCTACGTATAAAAGTAATTCATGAAAATACGGTAGCGTCCATTTTTTAAATAGAGTTATATCTGAGTATCCACGAACCTTTTTAAAGAGCTTTAATCACTTAAACACCCTCGTAAAAAATTTTGGCGCACAACGTGGGGCATAAACCCTTGTTATAAATTTTGGCGCTTTCAACGTGGGGCAGTAGAAATAATGGTATTACACGTTTAATAGGAACATAGGACAAACTGCTGCAAGAGAGTATTAAATACGAGTTCCCTACAGATGTTGAGAATTTTGTACTTTTCTGGATTTATATATTTTTCTGATTACCTATTGTATCACCCAGGTTATAAAAAATTGAGAGGTTTATCATTCAGATTCTGAGAAGAGATTGACTTTTTTTATTAGAATAATCAATTTAAATAACAAAAAAGTTAAAAAATACACCAATCTTCCTCATCAAAAATATTTTATATCGAGATAAAACATGTGCTTGAGTTTATAAAAAATATACTTTATACTATAATTTTTGTAATGTTCGTTCTAATAAAAAAGTTTATTTTAATATACTTTAAATAAAGCCAAAAATAAAATTTTACCTTAACAATAACAACCATATTTTACATTTGTAGTTAATAATGAAACCGAGAAATTTGCTATATATTTTTAAATATGGTTGCATGGAGAAACGAAAGTTAATGTTCGACTGGAACTTTATTACATCCCCCTTTTTTCAAAATTCGATTTTTTATAAAGAAAATCGAATTTTGAAAAAAAAGGGGGGGATGTAATGAAGCTCCAGTCGAACATTTTTTTTTATTGTTTTAACAATTTCTAATAAGTTACGAATAAAAATCTACACTTTCCCTAACAGAATGTAGAAGAAAATTTTCAAATAGTTATTTCACTTTTAAAAACTACGCATTATCACAGGAATGATGTATAAGAATGGCATTTTAATAGGTACATTTTTTTTGTAGTTTGACATGTACCCACGTTTTTGCAGCATATACATTTTTAAAATTCTACATTTATGTTATCGGCCAACGAATTACCTTCTAATAACAAAAATCGATTTAAAAATGTCGTTTATTTAATAAAAAAATCGATTATTTAAAAGAAATCGAATATTTAAAAAAAATCGATTATTTAAAAAAATCGATTATTTAAAAGAAATCGAATATTTAAAAGAAATCGATTAGTTAAAAGAAATCGATTATTAAAAAAAATCGATCAAAAAAGTCAATTTAAAAAATCGATTCATTAAAAAAGATCGATTAAAAAAGTCAATTATTTAAAAAAGATCGATTAAAAAAAAATCAATTAAAAAAGTCAATTATTTAAAAAATCGATTACTTACAAATATGATTTAAAAAAAATAAATTTTGAAGGTATTCGTTGGCCAATACCGTAAATAATAAAGTCTTCTATTTTAACTAAGCACACACAAAATGCGGCACGCAGCAGACGTGTTGAAAACCAAAATTTAAAAAACAAATTTATAACATGCAATAATACATATTTTAATTAAATTAACCAGTGGTATTTGAAAATTTACTTTCACGAATGCCTAAGCAAAAGAAATTTTCAAATGCATGAAATAACAATAATTTATACAGGGTGTATCATCTCATTAGTGCGTAATTGTTCAATATATTTCATTTTGTCTATTAATATTCTTTAACGCTGTATATGAAAATTTTATTTATGGGGGGGATGTAAGGAAGCCAATCAGACCCATTTTGGATCTAATTCCTTCCCTTCCCCCAAAAAAAGTGGACTCAAAATAAAATTGAATAAATAAAGTCCACCGCTTTGGTACCATAACTTCCCCCCTCCACTTTCACAGAAAACAAAAGTATTTGGGAGTAAATTGAACATTTACACACTAGTATGAAACCTTGTATAAAACGAAAATCATTTGACGGTAATTCCTTCTGCATTTTCACCGTGAGAAGTGTTTTAAGCACAGAATAAGTTTAAAATCAGAAATATCCATTTTTTTAAAAAGATCTTAAACACTAAGACATGGAGGGAAGTAACCACATTCCACATATACTTTACTGTATCACAGCCAAGATTTCACATGGAAAAACAAATTTAGGATTAGCGTACATAAAAATTATAAGTAACAAATGCTAGATCCAAATAAGTTTTCTGCGTATTTTCACATACAGAAACTTATAATACTAATTATAAAATAACATATAATAATAATAATAATAATAATAATCAAAATTTAATTAAGGGAGTTAAAAAAAAATCAGTTCGTGCATAATTAACATAATATTGCAAAAAGCAGACCTATATCACACGACCCACTCTTGAGATCTACTCGTTCTTTTAAACAGATATAACAAAACCATCAATCATATAAAACTATATCACTCTTCATAATACTCCAGTTCTCAATTTTAAAATAAGCACGATTACGTATCTCTCATTATTTTCTGATTCGTCTCATCACAGTCCTAGAGCCGAAAAGAAGATTTGACACTTTCTTATAACTGAATTTATTATTAATGGTTTCACGAAAACGCGACGTTCAAACTAGAGCGCTTATAGGTCATCTAGATGGATCTAGGATCGAAAGTTATGAAAAAAAATCACTTCCACCCTCAAAATGAAAATTTCACATTTATATTGTGCGCATAATGTATGGGACCAAAGTTCGAGTCGAGTCAGACCTTCCACCCTTCAAAAAATGGTCAAGAGTAGACTCAAAATAAAATTTTGGCATATTGAGATTCATTACATCCCCCCTTACTTTTTTTAAAAGTCGCCAAGAGTGACTTAGGAATAGAATTGAAGAAATATTATTGTGTGGGTACTTTATGGGACCAAAATTTTCTCTCCTCCCCCTCAATTTTTTGAAAACAAGAATAATCTAAACATTAATTTCAGATAAAATTCTTTTGGTAGGGTATTTGGGAGTGTTGAAGGTGTTCACTACATCCCCCCTTTCTAATAATCCTCCAAGAGTAAACTTGATATTTTTAATGTAACATATAGGATATTGAATTCTGAACATTTTAAGGTATATAACGTTGCCTCAATTTTCCCCAAAAATTAAAAAAATATTAATTTTACTGACAATTTTAAGAAATATGAAAAATGTTTTTAAGTAATTTTGGTAGATATTTTCAAGATAAATACAAAAATGTATATTTTGATTCCCCCTTTTTTATATTGCCTTATATTTTATATTAAAAAAAATAAAATATACTTTAGACTATAACGCTTTTGATTCCCTTAGATTTTTTTGTTTCCCCTCTTTTAAAAAAAAATATTGGGATTTAAAAAAAAATTATGGCATGTTATTGAGTAAATTATTTTAAGAAAAAAATGTTATTTGGTGATACCCCCAAAACCCCCCCAAATACGAGAAAATTAGGATTTTTATATAAAAATTGGAAATTTTTAAAGTTAAAAATCAGTAAAAAATTTGTTTTTTAAATATCTTTACATTTAAAATATTTTTTTGTCGAAAATGTTTTTATACAATCAATCCCCCCTTCCCCTATTTGAATTTTATCGTACAATTTTGATTTTCACTTCTCCCCTTTTTTTGGATTGCTTATTTTTATTGACTTGACTTACAAGTACCACTTGTAATGCCTATAGTTATCTAAGCGCTCCAGTGCGAACTCCGCGCGTTCGTGAAAATAAATCGCAAACCTTGATGGCTCTAGGACTATTTATTTATTTAATTATATTGTCATGAAAAATAAATTTACTCTATATAATTTTTTATATGCACCAATTTTTAAGGAATTAAACTTTGATAAAGATGGAACAATACTAGATTCTTATTTACAAATTTACACATCATAACAGAACGTATTTAAATTTTACAATTAAAAACAATTTACAAAATATATTTATAAATGATTCTTTTTTTTTTTTTTATATATATATAAAGTTATTGCTCCATCCGAAAGGCAAAGCGACAGTTAATTTTTTAGAGCAATATACTACGAAATTAATTTAAAACGCAATTTATATCACTATATAGAAAAATTATTCATTACGCTTTCTTCTGCCGTCGTTTTGTTCATCACATATTTGATCCGGTGCCGACCATCTTCTTTTTCTCGCGGCTATGCTATCAGGTGATATGGATTGATGAGGATAATTAGAAGATAGATGTAAATTTATTGGTTGAGTTTGAATTGACGTCTAAAAAGACAATCCGAATTAGTTTATAATATATATATATATACATTTTGTTATTGTTTCTGCGTCCATACATTTTGAATTTGCATCCGTTAACTTTGGGCGTCCGTATATGGACGCAGAAAAGACAATTTGAATTAGTTTATATTTATATATACATCTTGCTATTGTTACTGCGTCCGTATATGGACGCAGAAAGTTAATTCCCACCTAATACAATATTTAATATAAAAGAATCTCGGTGTTTACCTTCGTATCTGCCATTTGTGTTTCCGTAACCGTACACATAGGATGCTGTTGTTTAGCTGTCATAGATGTTCTAGTGGATGTTGTCATGATTGTCGCGTTTGCTCTGGAAGAATTCGGTATGGGTTCCCTAGGAGTTACAGATATAAGAACGTCGCCGACTTGTAGTTGATGAACTTTTAAACCGCACAGCTGTTGGGTACGTTCCGGACAACAAGACGTCCATCCTTGACCTACTACGAAATATGGATGTTCCAGTGATGATTCTACATCAGCCTAAAAGTATAAAAACGAACATATATATTATTGATTTTTAATGGTCTTTACTGATTTTTATTGTTTTTTATTGTTTTTTTATTGTTTTTTATTGTTTTTTATTGTTTTTTTATTGTTTTTTATTGTTTTTTATTGTTTTTTATTGTTTTTTATTGTTTTTTATTTTGTTTTTTATTGTTTTTTTATTATTTTTTATTGATTTTGATAGGTTTTTATTGATTTTTGTTTTTTAATTGATTTTCATTGTTTTTTTGTTGTTTTTCTTTATTTTTATTGCGTTTTATTGATTTTTAATGGTTTTTAATTATTTTTATTGTTTTTTATTGTTTTTTATTATTTTTTATTGATTTTGATAGGTTTTTATTGATTTTTATTGTTTTTTAATTGATTTTTTATTGATTTTTATTAAATTTTAATGATTTTTATTGGTGATTTTTATTTATTTTGATTGATTTCGATGGTTTTTTTATTGATTTTTATTGATTTCTAATGATTTTCATTTATTTTTAATTTTTACGATACTCTCATACAATTTTTCACTTCCCCATTTCATTATTTATTTATAATGAATAGTCACAATTACAATTTTAAAGTTGTTACATAAACTTCCACCCCTCGTTTTCCACTTTTAAAATGTGAAAATCCTAAAACCCTAAAAAAGGTAATTATTTATTTACGATGGGTAGCTACAATTTTTATTTTCAAGATCCTACCTTTAAAAAAATCGATACTAGTCACTTTACAGCTAAATGGGACGTCACTCTGTCAGGCCTAGGCGTTAAACCAACTTATATAAGCATCGACAATCAAACCCGATGGAACGGTACATGCACCAACAGTTTAAAAATTTGCAGAAACCCATTAATACATATGGGTTGACATAATGTATGTGCTGGGGATTTTGATGGACGCACCTATGATATAATTCTGTATATACATATATATACACACAAACCTGCAGACAAGTCTGTGCTTTCATGGAAGACACACGTGCTCTCATTAACATTATGACAATTCTTTTCTGTATATGTATCTTAATATTCTCATAAATAATTTAATAAATTTAGTCAACTAATATTAAATATTTACCTGGGCACGCCTATTGTTGTATGAAAGTGTAATCGTTGCGTTCCCCATGTGCTGATTTTCCTCAATTCTCACGACCGTACTCTGAGCCAATCGCAATTCCGGACTCCGTTCAGCCGACACAATAAAATCCTCTGTGCGCATCTCTTCTATCCTCCTCAGTTCACCGCTGTGTAATTGTATCAAAGAACCTTTAGTAAAATTCAGAGGTAACGTATTATTATTGTTATTCACCGATTTTCTCGGTGATCTAGGCGGGGAGACAGAAGCCTGCAGCCTTTTTCTACTAGCTTCGAAAGGTTTTTGAATATCTAAGTGACTAGGTTTGTTATTATCTTCTGGCCTTATCAATATTCTATGCTTAAGAGAACCTTCTTTACCGGGAACCTTGAAGGACGGGTTTTGGGAAATATGGCTCTGGACAGTAATAGTTTGGGTTATCAAAGAAGGCTTTTTATCCATGAAGATGTGTGGATTTTTTAAACTAGGCGGGCTAAGAGAATCTGGAGGAGAACGAAACGTTGAAGTAATTATAGGACTTGATGATGAGGAGAACGTTTCTATCGGTGATAAAGGAGTGGGTGGATAACTAGTCCTCATTAAATAAGTAGGTAGATTCGTAGGTTGGCACAAGGAATATGGAAAATGATATTGCGTGGGTGGAAATATTCTGTAAGCACTGTACGGTGTCATTTCTTCTGTCGCGTCTTCTTTGGGTTGTACTAAATTTACAGGATTCGAAATAGTCGGTGAAGATGGGTATTTACCAACTTGTCGCGGCGGCGGAGCTAGTCTAGTGCCATTGGGGTACGTTGTTGTATTGATTCCATTGTACCTTGTTGTTGCAGGAAGGGGTTTTGGAGCCGGCCTAAGAAACAACTCCGGCGGTTGTTTCAGAGGTCCTCTCCAAGGCTCTGGATACGTCATGTAAAGAGGCAACCTTCCTTCCACGCCCGCTGAAATCATGGACACCAAAGAGCACCAAAGCGAATCTGAAAAATAAAAGTAAATGTTAAGATTTTTATAATTATCAAAACCGTTTGAAACTAGTTTAGATTACGTAGCCATATATGTATCTTTTTTTCAAACGACACAAAAGTGCAGACAAGTCTGTGCTTCCACGGAAGACAAACGTGCTCTCATTCCAGAATCGGTCTACCCTTAATTAGCATTAATTGTAGAATTGGCTCTATCTATCTACTCACAATAAATTGTTTTTTACAAAGTGTTGGAACGTCATTGTTTATAGCACCGAAAGGAGACAGTCCATTTGATAAGCGCATATTTATAATGCGTGTTGGTATGTCTTGGAAACAGTTTTAAACTGGTCTGTACATTCACTAGACCTGAATCATATCGAATAGTTCGAAAGAAGAGTTAGAGCTCGTCGAAATAATGCAGAAAATGTCGCATAGCTTATTGATGCAGCATTAGCAAAATGGGAAAACAATGTTGACCGTTTAATAAGAAGCATACCAAGTCTAATAGAAGCGCTAGAAGTTGCAACACAAAAAATATTGTTTATTTTTCATTTACGGTGTCCAATAGAGTCACAATAATACGCACTTGGATACAATATTTCCTAGTCGTGTGAAATATGTCACTTTTTACACTCTTTATTTTATTTTCTTAATAACAGATATGTCAATTATTTTCTTTATATGTTTTAATACTTTTCAATACTACTAAATGATTTTAATTGTCAAACAACAAACTAGACAACCTCTAAGAGGTTGAAAGAAAATTTGTAATCCATGACCCGAGTGCGTTAAAAAGTGTGAAAGACAAAACTCCATTCAATGGAATAATGAATGGGGGAAATATTATGGATTACAACCTAGTAACCTTCCAACGTTCTTGGATATCAATCGATGGAGGGCAAACACACTTTCATGAATTGAGCCCCGGCTACGTGCATCGCTTCCATTCGTTCGTTCTCTTTCCCTTGCGAAGCGGCGATTTCTCTTACGGGTTATATTTCGCTGCGCAGCGTCGTGCGCTTTATTGACGTTTGTTGTAGTACACACTCACTATTTACTCTACTATTATATGAATCAAAAGTTATGACTGGGTTATGAATCAGAGTCATGCATAGCTTTTAGATCATAATTTGGATAAATAAAACTCAATATATAAGAGAAGAAGGTGAAAAAATATGCAAAATAAAATGATTATTGGGTAGATACCGCAAAAAAATGAAAAAACGCCTAAATGCAAACAGTAGACACGTGTCTAAGTTCAAAAGAGAAGGGAACTAACGATGATATCAAAACAACAGGAGATCACTCAAGGAGTCGACCACTCATTTGTGCCCTCTGCTAACATTCCCAGTGCTTACTAGGAAAATGTTATTATAACTGCCTCCGTGGCGACGCTAATATTTTCCTAGCAAGCATTGGGAATGTTAGCCGAGGCCACAAATCTGTGGTTGGCTCCTTGAGTGATCTCCTGTTGCTTTGATTTCATCGCTAGTTCCATTCTCGTTTGAACTTGGTTGCACCGTACCGATGAAGACCAATAGTCAGAAGCACGTGTCTACGGTTTACCTTTAGGCTTTTTTTCATTTTTTTTTGCGGTATCTTCCCAATAATCCTTTTATCTTTTCGGCGGGTACTGTCATGTCTGACTGTGAATTTAAGTCTCGCCGATAAGGTACAAACAGAGCTGAGGAAACCAAAGAGTCCTCTACAGAGGAACAAACTTTAGCAAAGGACGACAAGGTGGAGTCTTTCCACAGAGGAGTCAGTCCCCTCAAGAAGTAAGAATCCTAAGAGGAGACGATACCGACGAAAATTGGAGTGACCTCTAAGAAGGCAGACAAACTGCCTAGTTCACAGAACTGTACATAACGATTAGGGTTCTTCAGGACAACCTCCATCATGCACAATGCAGTGGATGTTTAAAAATTCTCAGGACAGACCTGACAGAAGAGACCTATGTCGATTCTGTCAGGAGGAGTAAGAATTAGACAAGATCTGATTAAATCTAATCTAATTACTGAAAACTCTGTTTATACACTATAGATTTTTTAACTAATAAAAAAAGTAACGATTTGTGTTCGGTCAGAATTTGATGTAAGACGTGACAATCCGGGGATTGCAGTTCTGCATACAGATGCTAGAATAAGGTTAGGTTGTTGTAACGGAAAATATTCGGGGCTAGATATAAGTTTGATGTACCTAGTTAATATTTGAAGTTAAGTGTATTAATAAACTCCTAATCCAGGACTGTACAAGGGCCAGATTTGGATAACCGTAACTGGACGAGGGTCGCCAAGAGAGGCCTGAGTCTATAATAGTCGGTTCATCTATCTCAAAAAAAAGGTCATCGGTTCAGATTTCTAAAAAAAAAAGGTCGACACCTTTCATTTAAAAAAAAAAGGTCGTCAGCTTGTAATGTATAGCCCATCCTGCTAATCGAGAGTCAGCCTAAATGCAAGTTTGTTACTGAAAATGAAAAAATGTATGATAGACTCTTTATTACCAAAAGAACTAAATTAAAATTTCTCAAAATTTATCCCGGAATTACTATTATCATACGTTGAATTTATAGATAATTCACATCTCACTAATAATTGCAAAGTAAAAAATCATTCATTTTAGTAACCATTGAATTTGTTATGAATAAATTTAGTAAACGAAACGTTGAATTAAACAAGCATTATCGTAGTTACCCAATCTATATGATTAACAGCTGTTATTTTAGGTTTGAAACCGTAAATTAAACTTGCTGGTTAGAGAGAGACACATCAAACTACCAAGGTCAATGTGTAGTAACAAACGAATAACAAAAGTGTGGTGTGGTGCGACGAGTGCAAGGCGAAGGTTATAGCTTACATAACCTTCCTCAATGAATCGATGTTTTATACTTCTAAAAACGAGTACTTTGATAAAATTAATTATATATACCTACCTAGTAAAATAAAAACCGTACGAATACCACCAGTTGTTAAATTTTACAAAAACAATTCGACAATGATTTCAACAATTTGGTACAGAGGAATTGAAGGAAGGAAACAAGTCAGTAGCGTAACCGGAATGCATGGGAAGAGGGTAGGGTTGCCAGACGTCACGCTTTTGACTTATTTGTCACGCTTTTTATGCACATGCCACGCTTTTTAATTTAAAGCCGTAAAGAAACCGGATTTATACAAAAATAGACACATCTAAGAGTAAAGGATCCTAGATTTTACGAAAAATATAAGCTGAGGACCTTTTTTGTTTTTTTTTTAGAAATTTCACAAAAAATGGACCTAATTATATAAAAATGATTGGTATATGAACGTAATGCTTTGTCGTCATGATGGCTACGGTTCTCAAGATTTTTATTTTCGGAAATCTGGCAACCCTAAAGGAGGGGGTGTCAGGGTTCGCCCAAATCAGAAAATTAGCATTGCAAAGAACATTTTTATACTTATTAGGGGCTTTCAACAAAATATCATTACAAAACGTATCGTTGTTTTTATCATATTTCAGATTTTTTTACATATTAGGGGCTTTAAACAAAATTACCAATGCAAAACGCATCGTTCTTTTCATCATATCGCAGATTTTCGTTTTTTACTTATTAGGGACATTTAACAAAATAGCATTGCTAAGCGCAACGTTGTTTTTATATCTAAGATTTTTTTTACATATTAGGGACTTTCAAGAAAATATCATTACAAAACGCATCGTTGTTTTTATCATATTTCAGATTTTTTTTTCATATTAGGGGCTTTTAACAAAATTACCATTGCAAAACGCATCGTTCTTTTCATTATATCGCAGATTTTTGGTTTTTACTTATTAGGGGCTTTCAACAAAATATCATTGCTAAGCGCAACGTTGTATTTATCATATCTCAGATTTTTTTACATATTAGGGGCTTTAAACAAAATTACCATTGCAAAACGCATCGTTCTTTTATCATATCTTAGATTTTTTACTTATTAGGGGCTTTTAACAAAATTTTACCATTGCATAGCGTATTTTTTACTTATTAGGGGCTTTCAACAAAATATCATTACAAAACGCATCGTTGTTTTTATCATATTTCAGATTTTTTTTTCATATTGAGGGCTTTTAACAAAATTACCATTGCAAAACGCATTGTTCTTTTCATTATATCGTAGATTTTTGGTTTTTACTTATTAGGGGCTTTCAACAAATTATCATTGCAAAGCGCATCGATGTTTTTATCATATTTCAGATTTTTTTACATATTAGGGACTTTCAACAAAATATCATTACAAAACGCATCGTTGTTTTTATCATATTTCAGATTTTTTTTTCATATTAGGGGCTTTAAACAAAATTACCATTGCGAAATACATCGTTCTTTTCATCATATCGCAGATTTTCGTTTTTTACTTATTAGGGGCATTCAACAAAATATTGCTAAGCGCAACGTTGTTTTTATATCTAAGATTTTTTTTACATATTAGGGACTTTCAACAAAATATCATTACAAAACGCATCGTTGTTTTTATCATATTTCAGATTTTTTTTTTTCATATTAGGGGCTTTTAACAAAATTACCATTGCAAAACGCATCGTTCTTTTCATTATATCGCAGATTTTCGTTTTTTACTTATTAGGGGCATTTAACAAAATATCATTGCTAAGCGCAACGTTGTATTTATCATATCTCAGATTTTTTTACATATTAGGGGCTTTAAACAAAATTACCATTGCAAAACGCATCGTTCTTTTATCATATCTTAGATTTTTTTACTTATTAGGGGCTTTTAACAAAATTTTACCATTGCATAGCGTATTTTTTACTTATTAGGGGCTTTAAATAGATTACTATTGCGATATTTTTATCAAATCGCATTTTTTTTATTATTAGGAGTTTTCAGCAAATTTCGGCAACGCTGTTTTTATCATACCACAAATTTTTGAAACAACTTTGAATCAAAATTAAAATATAAAAGATATTCTTTTAAGATTTTAAGAGAGCTTTCAATGTAATTTTTTTTGTGGTGAAGTGTAATTCACCTAAAAAAAAA